TTGGAGTTAATTTATTAATTCTTTCATATACATGGCCATATACATCTAACATCTTTATTGTTACGTTAGATAACATCAGCATCACAAAAATGAACAAGTGATCAATAAGTTTGTGCCGTTTATTAATTTTACTAGCCTAGTTATCATTATTCCAACATGCATATTGACTGAATAACTTAATTAACTGTTATCTGTTATTCACTAGTGTGATGCAGAAGACAGGACTTCGAGCGAACACAGAAAGAAAAGAGATTATGAAGCTGCCCATTCACCATCATCAACAACAAGCAGAAATCACGGTCAACGGGAGAAATCTAGAGGAAGTTATCACTTTCACTTATCTTAACAGTATCGTTTCAACTGTAGATGGCACAGATAAAGATGTTAAGATCAGTTAGGATCGGAAAAGCAAGATTCATTGCTTGAAATCAATGCGGGAATCTGGTGAAGTCAGCATTAGGGACATGACTAAGATTTTCAACATTAGTATCGAATTGGTGCTTCTATGAGGTTCGGAAACTTGGCTGTCGTGCCAAGAAAGTCATTTTTGCAACAATCTACAGGCTTTCATCAACAGATGCCTTTGGTGGCCTGTATAATGAATATCTTCATTTTCTTTCTTTTCATTCCTTTACATTCACAAGTGTAACATAGGGGGCTTCAAGCTAGAGGCTTGAAGTTTCTGTAGCAGGGGTGTTTATTTTTACGGGATGGGGTTGCTAGACTCATGTTCAACCTCCCCTCTTTATCACGCTTATTACTGGCTTAGCAAGGTAAAGGAGTGCATCTGTGGCCGTGGGTCGAACCCCGGACCACATGAGGCGTGTTTGGCAAGCATGAATTGCTGGCTTCTGACATTAGACGTTCTTTGTGATTTCTGATATTCTTATGAATTATTCCAATACTATTAAAATCAATTTCGTCGCCTGATTCTATAGTGTAGCGTGTAGACAACCTATGGCTGATGATTTGACTCAAATAATGAATATCAGATGCCCAGAAAGAACAAGCAACAAGGACCTCTGGTAACGAACTAGCCAAGAACCTACTGCCGAACAAATATGCACTGAGGAGACCATCGAACGCCATCAGACTACAGACTCTCGAGTGGAACTCGAATCGAAGAAGACGAGTTGGGGGTTCGAGGGTGACGTGTAGAAGATAATGTAAGGAGGAGTTAACACCTTATGGCCAATCACGGAGCCAGCGAAAAAGACTGCAGACAATAAACTAAGGTGTTCGTGTGCTGCTGATGCCCTGCGTTCCAGTAGAACCCAGGGGAATAATATCTAGAAGACTTCTATCAAAATCATCTATCGGATTTTGCTTATGCATGCACATGAAGACAGATAAACAACGTTACACTGATGAATTTCAGTTACAGATTTCAGTGAATTTCCCCGACTTTTTTTTTAAATCGGTAACGTCGAAATAAAAACCGCTAATTTTAAAGTTTGACCAATACATCTGATATAAGAAGCAGTGACTTTCATCAGTAACTGTGGAGTAAGCGATTGAAATATTATCGATCTATGAGTATGGTTAACATCGTCAACTGAACTTACGATGAAAGACCTTGAGAATAGTTTCGCACACGAATTGAAATTGACCCTAAAGATGTGAATGAAAGTAAGCAAAAAAAGAGAAAAGATTTTTCAGGTAATCACATCTTACAGCTTTACAAACACTAGAAAAGCAGTAAGGCAAAATATCAATTAATATCAATTAAAATAAAATTTAAAGTGTAGGCTGTACTTTAGTTTCTGAATAAAGTTGGCAAGTCACGAAGCAAATTATTATTATTACTATTATCTAAAAATGTTTTTAAGAAGATATATTTCTATTATGTTTGTGTGTTTAATAAGGATGTGTATGACAGACAGGCATTTACCGAAAAATATGGAAGCTTTCATTCACAAAACTCAATGACTTTAGTGATGTTTTGTTATGGCCATTGCCAAAGACATAAAAACAGAATAAAGCGTGTCCCAATGCTTGATGCATTTCCAGCATAACGTTATTTAAAAGCTACAGTTAGATAATTAACTCACTGTACCGTACTGGTCACGGCTTCCCACTAGAACCCCAGGTCACTGCCTGAATAGGGCCAGTCGCTAGTGACAGTCAGATTAATTTTTAAATATTGGTTTTGTAGGGATTTGATTGATTGGATCAGGCTAAATGGTCTACGAGCTCACTGGCCTTGCGACCAGAGGGTCCTGGGTCCGAAATCTGGCGGTGGGTGCGTACTGATGAAGAGTTCCAAACTAGGACGAAACAGCTATCCAGTACTCTCTGCAGGTTTTCCAATGGTTCTTTAACTGATGTCAGCTCATGATGAAATCCTCCAACCAACCTACAAAACCAATACTTCAAGATAATTAACTATCACTTCCTTTTTATCCGCTAAGGTAATACCGGTTCACGCTTTTAAGGCAGCTTCAGTGGCCCAGTTAGTTGGAGCGTTTGGCCTTTAACTGAACAGCTGATAGTACGATTCCACCCATGGGTGTTAGGGATTTTGATGCAGTACATCGTCAACGTCACAACTACCATCACATGACGTATATAATTCACTCGACTTGCACGCCTACCTCCCTACATTTCACACAAACGAAATTTTATCACAATGAGTTATGGGATGAAAATATTACTTACTGAATCCGACAGCAAATAATTCAAAAATGGATATGATTTTAAAGATCCTGAGTATCTTATGATTCATTGTAAAAAAAGTGTTACTGAATAGCAGACAAAGTGAGACTAAAACTCAAAACGCTGTGATCCGTAGAAGGATTAGAGATGGGTACTGCTAGAGAGTCTCAAACCAGGAGGAAACATCTATTATCAGTAGTTAGCTAACTGGTTCGTGAAAGAAAGACCGATTTCACTAGGTTTTACATATTGAAGCGACACAATACAATTACCGTAGGTATATCACAAACTGGTCCATAACAATGAGCCTTCCGGAAGCTGTGGAGGCAGTAAAAAGATGGGTGAAACGCAAGACATATATGAACAAAACTATTTGATAATGGTTTCTTACAAATTATGATACAGAGTCAACCATTATCATTTCAAAAGTTGGCGAATAATGAGATCTCTGACTAGTAATAATGATAATAGTTAAAGATGAGGAAAAGTCTAGAAGGTTTTGTCCTGTCAGAAAACTATGAGTATAAACTATCAACTACTCAGGTTTCGTTACTCTGAGGTTTGCTCTTAGGTTCCTAAGAAAATCTATTGCTGGATTCATGTCTTATTGTTGATTTTTATTATTGTTCCCTTGGGTTCCTGGCTTCAACAACACATCTTCGCTTTCTTCTATTTTCTGCTGTCCTCTCCAGCTGGGTCCACGATTTCTTCCTCAAACAATCGCCTTCATGTCACCCTCAAACTGACGACCCACTCGTCGCTTCCCATTGGGATTCCACTAGAGGGATGGCCTGCATTGCGCACGATGTCATTCAACAGTTTCCTCAATGTATGCCCGATCCATCTCCACTTTCTCCTACATATTTGTTGAGCGATCGGCTCGTGGTTGGTTTGTTCCACAGTAGAGTTTCTTGTTGCTAATTCTTTCTGCCCATTTGATCTTCAGTATGGAGCCAGTCAGTGAAGGTGGCAGCTGTTGATAAAAGTCTGCAATAATTTGTTGGAAATCCTTATCGTGACACGCAGTGTAAGTTTCTGACCCGTATAGAAGGACCGACTTCATATTGGTGTTGAAAATCCGAATCTTGTTCCTTATGCTGAGTGCATTGCAGAAGATTTCTAAACTCGTTTCAGGTTGATGAAGGCGTCTCTTGTCTTTCCGATCCTGTCTGACTTTGATATCTTCATCCGTCCCGCCTACAGCTGAAACAATGTTTCCCGGAAAAGTAAAGGAAGTAACCTCTGTTAAATCTCTCGCGTTGATGGTGATTGGTGCTGGTTGTTTTTACGGTTCGTTGGTTATCTTCAGTACCTCCGTCTTCTCTATGTTCACCTGGAGTTCTGTCTTCTCTGCCAGCCTCTTCCGCCCGTTTTTGTTGGTTTTCGCCTGAAAGGTTGGATTCATTCGCAACTATGCAAAAATAGTGTGTGAGTACACATATATGCCAACTTTGAAATGAAATCAGAAAACATAATAATATGATCATCCATTTCAATACCTTACGAAGTGACAGAAAAACTGTAAAGTAAATGAACTATAAAGTACATTGGTTATATCCCCCCCACACACAAAGACATGTTTTATTCTCTCACTCATATTTAAGTCTTGTGAAAGGGTTTACAGCAAGTAGTCTCATGTTATTCTGATATTAGGTATCAGAACGCTTTAATGGCAAAGACGCCTAACTGCTTTTCAGTGGCATACTAAGGACAGTCACTTCTTTTCATGAATAAAACACTAATAAGTCCTTGAAATTGCAGCCTTCAGTCGGTATTTTCTTAACCGTTGAGTACTACCTCAAGGTACATTTCTTCAGAAACCAAATACTAGCTAGAGAACCCTTGAAAATCAAGGACCAGTTTTCACCTAATTTCAGTTTCTTCAACAATGGTCATCCACAGTTTCATAAGGGAGTCATCCACGAACTGTCAGGCTTACAAGAAAACATATTACCATTCAAACAAATGACCAATGACTTCTGAAACCTATTAATCCATCAACCAGTGAAATCACTACCAACTATCAATCAGTCGTTACAGATCATAACTGTTTCACCTCAAAGCTGATGGTTGAGAGAAAAAAGATTATTGTTCAACTTAGTGATTTTGAAGACTTGATTAATTTAATATGAACAGATAACTCGTAGACTTTTCAAAATACAGATGTGAGCCTATCAGTTTAACCATCAACTTTTATAACTTCGTTCGTCTTTAAAATTCTTATAAGAATAAAAGATTTTAGGGTCAGAAAAACTAATTAACCTAATATATATGTATCAAGTGGCATATTTAAACTAATTGACAGAAATGTTCAATCACATCTTCAAGGTCAAGTATTTTTTTTCCTATTCAAAACACAGAAATATGAAATATTTAAATTTGTTATTTTTACTTACAGTGGTTTGAATTAACATAGCCCTATGATCACGCATTCGTTGAACTAATTCCAGCGGTTTGACAGGGAAATTACGTTCCATTAAGTTGATTGAAGTTTCAATAGCAATTAGAACACCTGTTCGACCAATACCAGCTGAACAGTGTACAACTACTGGTGATGAAGTTTCTCCACGGATTCGTTGAACTCGTTCTACAAATGATATCAATTGATCTGTATCATTTGGTACACCATGATCAGGCCAACTGATGTATTGCAATTGGGTGATACGACGTGTTTCTGTATTTTTTCGTAGGACAGACTGTAAAGAAGTGCGACTTGAAGGCAGCTGGCTGATATCGAATTCCCGATAAGCAACATCTGCAGTTATCTTGTTAAAAACAAGTTAAAACAATGAAAGAAATGATTGACAAAATTAGATATTCATCGTGTACCAAATCTAGCATTAGGTGAGTAGACAATTAAGGAAGACGCCGTTTAAACTCGATTGGACAAAGTAATCGTTTAGATATGATGGAGAAGATTTGTTGCCCAGATGAATGTTTTTGATGGAGTTGTGTTCTCTGAGCTGGGTGGTTTATTTGCGAAGCTTTCATTGCCCCACTAGGCAACATCTTCAGCGCATACTTCAATTCGAAGTGAGCTTTTAGATTTCTCTACGAGTTTGTTAGTCATCTCTTCTTGTGACTTTGAACGTGATTGGTTGTTATTGTGTGTTTTCACACCCTCTATGCTACCTGTATTGGTAGTGATTGCTTCCTTGACCTGAACTTTCACCGTTTGTGTATGAGATTTCCTTCTAATCGATTGGTAGCGGCCTAGAGGGTATGAAAGACAACCTGTCATGTTCAAGGTCACCAGGAGAGATGATTAGTAAACTCGTGGAGAAATCTAAAAGCTCACATCGAATTGAAGTATGCGCTGAAAATGTCGCCAGGTAGGGCGATGAAAGCTTCGCAAATAAATTACCATCCAGCTCAGAGAACACAATTGCACCAAAAACATCCACCTGGGCAACAAATCTTCTCCATCATATCTAAATGATTACTGTGTCCAATCAAGTTTAAGCGACATCATTTGCAGTTCAGACCACTGAGCGACAATGACTGTGAATGTAGCGCCAAACCAAAAAAGTGCAATTCTATGGGGAGATATCAACTGATTCAAAGCATACTGCCGATGCGTTGTAAAATATAGAAAGTTCCGGTAAAGCATAGTTTTCTTTAGTTCAACTTCAGCATGATTTACACCTCACTACATTGTCAACTTGCTCAACACCGAAGTAGAAAAAATATAACATTTTCGAGGGTTGGTTTGTAGGGATCTGATTCGTCGCAAGTTTGGCCGCGGTTTGACATCAGTTAGAGAATCCCTGAAAACCAGGGAGCAATGGACATTTATTTTGTCATACTTTGTGACCCATCGGTGACCACGAATCAGTGGAAGTTGGAATTCATGGGCTGGTCATTGAGTCAGAACTCAGTAGCTAAATGGTCTACGAGCTTGGCCTGTAACCCGAAAGTCCTGGCCTTGAGCCCCGGTGCGTGCGTGCGTACATTCCATGAGTCCCAAACTAGGATGCAACAGCTGTCTAGTGCTCCCTGGTTTACAGTGGGTTCTCTAACCGATATCAGTCCGTGGGCAAACTTGGAAATATGACATGGTCGATAGACCAGTGGACGTAATTGCTGATTAGCAGCAGCAATCTTGGATGGTGTTCTTCATTAACCTATCATTCGAAAGAATCTAGAATGATAATACATAAATAACTTAGTCTGTGCTGGATCACCAAACAGCTGCTAGATATTCCTGTACAAAATTGTTTCCATGAGACGACCATACTATTTAACTTTGTACACGATTAATGACAGATATGAGAAGTAACTTTTTGTACAGGTGTTTAAACTTTATGCCTCACTGATATTCTCTAAATGATTTATACTAACTTTCAACAGTTGGATTGTAAGGATTAGATTTGCTTTTACGAGTTTGACCACGGATTGATATCATTTAGAGAACCATTGAAAACAAGCAGGGAGTACTGTACTGGACAGCTGTTTCACGCTAGTTTGGGAATCATTGGCAGTACACACTCACCATGGTTCGAACCCAGGACCTTCCAGTTACAAGGCAAGCTCGTATACCATTTAACCAATGGGACCCGATTCAATGGCCCATGAATTCTAACTTGTCCCAGTGGTTGAATGGTATACGAGATTTATACTAAGTAAATTTGGATTTCAGTGACATTTTCGCTAAAAAATAGTAGTAATCCAGTGATTCGTTTATTACAGCTATGCTATAAACAAGGAAAACATTTTACTGAAAGTGGACACCTCAACTAAATGCCTCTTCAGGCTTTGTTAGGTAGACTGGTGTTGATGCAAAAACATGGCGATACTACGCGCGTGATTCGCCAGTGATGATGGCATAGAAGACTGTATTCGACTAAATGAGTAATGCAGTCTGCTTAAGGATGAACTGAATGAACCAGGAATATTCATTGTCTGTTAATCTGATCGAACTTCAGCTAGTCTAAATATAAAATAATCATGTATGTAGTGAGAGGAGGTCACTACGTAGATGGTTTGGGGTTAAGGACTCCACATTCTGCATAAAGAACATGCGATTATCGATATTAGATGGTTGGAGGTAGTTGGCAAGAAGCCTTCGACCTAGGTTTCGTGCTAGTTGGCACTCACCAGCAAAGGTGTGTCTGCGACCTTGGAGAAACTCATGTCGCGTCTGAGATTCGAGCCTGCATCAACCAGTGGCATAGTTACCACACTGCAAACTTGACTGACAGAATTCAGTCTTCACCAAAGAAAGGACTAGACACATCACACTAGTTTCTAACTAGTGTTCAATCAAAGTAAACGAGCGGTTATATCTCTATAAAGTGCAGTACTTCATAAATCACATGTGAACACCTTTCAGTCAGGTGTCATGCCTTTCGTAAGAGAATTAAATTACAACACTGACATCAACATAGTCATCAACTGTAAGTAGATTTTCCATATTTTTTCTGGTCTACCACGTGAGAAGGGTTATTTTCTAAAAATAACTTCATTACAATAATTAAATTAATTAAAGTTCGTTTTGAAAAAAAATCAGTTAATTATTCGATAGGCAAGACAGATGAAGCAGGGAAAATCATACTGACTTCAAGCATCATTCTCGCACATGAAGAGCAGTCAGTTAATAAAGCCTGCCTCAGGTGAAATGTTCACCTAGACTGTAGGTGTAAACTCCAACAGTTAACAAAGGCCATATACGCCTAGTCAATCTAACTTCAGTGTTATTCTCCTAAATAATAATATTTCATAAAATAACAAATGTCTAAGCATGAGCAGCTATTCATCAGGAAGTTTAAATATTATCTTTTTATTTAATGAATAATTAATTACTTCTTCTCGTATAGTTTTCAGCTGTAGATCTGTTGAACTGCGCAGTTGAGGAATCCTAGGACTTGTCGAAACATTGAAATTCACAGTATGATTAAGATCTGGCCAGTAACGATGACATTTGGCCTGAAAAAATAATAAAAAACAACAACCAGAAAGCATTGTAAATCAAGATATTATATACGCATGTATATTCGATGTATCGCTAAATTGTCGAGTCAAAAGTTAATTGTCTAAAATAAATACTACACCGCACTGCGTCATTTGATTTTTCAACCATAATATATCTACAGTATACATTGAGAGTATTAATCACAAAGTTTGGGGACTTAAGTGTATTTTGTGTCCACGGTTCATATGCCGAAGTGGTTGTCAGTGATGTGAGTGGCTCAAAGAAGAAATGGCGGGTTTATAAACACTTGTGTTAATATGAAAGATCGTTATGTCTTGAAATAAATTGTGTATCCACATTGTAGCTCGAAACACTAAAAAGTCATCGTATAAAAGGTAAGTCAGTTTATTACAGCATAAGAACAGGTGCATGATTACGCAATATTCAAGGAAGTGTTTATAAACAGTACTAATTATCAAGTATTAGTTTGTAGGGATTTTGTTTGTTTGATTGGTTGGAGGATTTCATCATGAGCTGACATCAGTTAGAGAACCATTAGAAAACCTGCAAGGAGTACTGCCATACGGCTGTTTCGTCCTAGTGCTTCGGACTCTTCATTGGTACGCACCCACCGCCAGGGTTCGAACCCACGACTTTCTGGTTACAAGGTGAGCTCGTAGACCATTAAGTCACTGGGACCCGATTCGATGGCTCGCCTTGTAACCAAAAGGTCCTGGGTTCGAACCCCACTGCTGAACAGTCCCAGACTAGAACGAAACTGCTGTCTAACTGTACTCCTAGGTTTTCCAATGTTTCTCTAACTGATTTCAGCTCATGATGAAATCCTCCAAGTAATAATTGTCTTTGCTTTCATGACTATCTTGCTCTCCCTTGTGTTTGAATTTGGTTATAAGTGTTGAAAGTTATACTATAACATTAGGCACTTGTGTTTTAACTAAGGTTTTTCCACTTAACTAAATAAGCTGTGAGTAAAACAAAATGGTGAGAGTAATTTTAATGCATGTTCTCAGAATCAATACATTTCGTCTGTACGTATAGATTAATAAACCACTAGTTAATGTATCATCATCGGATGTCTCCATCAGAGGAAATAAACTGTGTGTGTGTGAGGGGGGGGGAAGTTTTTATATTTCAATACATACATACATACACACATATATACGTACATATGTCATTGAAATCAGAAATAATTGCGCTGTTATATCACTTTGGCAAGCATCATTAATCATGTTGACTTTATTAACCTCCTTTCTTATATTCCTTATTTCCTTTTTTGTCTCTTTCAGCGTTTGTCTCTTGTCTCTGCACTTCCCGTCTGTGTACGTGTGTGTGGGGGTGTGTCAAACTCATCCATACTCACACACACATACACACATATTTAGACAAACAAAAGAGAGATTCACTTGCTTCTTCTACTCAAACATTCAACTAGGTAGGATGTACAAAAAAAAGAAGTATTCAAGTGGTTTCACGGTGCTTGTTTCTCCTGTGAATAAACTTTTATGTCATTTCATTTATATAATGGAAGATATACGGTAAACTACTAAGCTTTAAGTGTTTGAAGGCAAAAAATAATCATAACACATGAAGAATTAATGACTATGAGAAACAAAATTTAGATAACGGGAAGAGATACGCTATTCCTATGCTCCTTTTTTCCTCTCTTCAAAATGTGTCTAACTACCTTTACAATAATGGTATTAAAACAACAACACTTATTCCCTGGTTCTGTCTGATAAACATAGCCACTTTAAAAATTAAGTAAAGAGGAAACTTTAATTCAAGGACAGGCAAGGCAGGCAGGCAGGTTTAGTTAAGTGGCTAACAAACTGAGCAAATAGCACTAAGTAGGACAAAAAAAAACCGAAATGATGAAATGAAATAGATAGAAGAAAAGCTGGTTGGTATTAAATTCATTAGGAAGATCAGAAAAGGTTGAAAGCAAAATAAAAATAATGGGGAAACTAATAATGATAACATAAATAAGAAAGAATATAAGGCATCTACAGTAGTTTTACCATATGAGGAGAGGATATCTGAAACCCTACGTAGGATTCTCAATAAAGCAGGAATTTGGGTGGCATTCAAACCTACAAACTCACTCGAGACAAACTCTGTAGGCTGAAGGACCCAGTGGACTCAATTAGACAAAACAATATAATTTACAAAATACCTTGCAATGATTGTGAGTGAGGTCAACTACATAGGTCAAACTAGTGGATTGAGCAGGGGTAGTCAGATTGTCAGAACATAAGAATCTAGCTAGCTGCAGAATGATTGATCCCAGGAAGATAAGTAATTTAGAAAAAAAAACTCAGAAATGGCACTGCATGCATTAACATACAATAACACAATAGGGTAGGACAGAGTCAAAATTCTAAAAAGTAATATAAGTAGGTGGAGATAGAGAGAGATTGATTACTGAATCCTGGTTCATAGAGTCTACACCCAACATATGCAACCGAAGTGAGTCAACACAAATACCAGAGATATGGAAGATATTATTACCAGTCAAATCATGAGATGAAAAATAATGGAATTATAAAAACGAAGCTAGAAAGTTGTGTGTGTAACTTGATATGATTATGAGTGGCAATAAATTGTGCTCGAAACGTGGTCATCAGTAAATATTACTGTATAACACGGTGTTATTTTATCAAAGGGGCCTGTCCCATATCATGTCTAAGACAAACGAATAATTACTCTGGAAAGTAATGATAAATTTACGGCTAAGAACCATGCAGCTTATTTTAATTCTTACATAAGTAACCATGGTCGTTAGTATTTAGTTTCTTTGTTCAATCTGAGTCCTAGATTTAATTTTCTTGACCATTTTAATCATTTTCATAAACTTATCATTATGCATAAACTGGCTGTAATCATTTACAAACAAACTGATTGTTTTATCAAACAATAGCTAAAAGTTAATTGGTAGATGGTGACTAGCAGTGGAATCCAGGATGCATATTTCATCCTGTTTAGCTAAAAGGTCTAATAATTGAAAATATAGAATTTTATTTATGTTAGTGTACATATATTTTCAAAATATTCCACAAAATTTTGTCATTAATCAGTATTAATGAAAACAAAACACACTGTGCAAGGAAAAAGTTCTTTTCGATGAATTCATTTCAGCCCTGACTACCTAGAAGCAGAACTACATCTTCTGAAAGAAACCTTCATCCAAAATGGATACCCATTAAAATTCATCGATAAGAATGTCAAACCAAAAGTTCAGAGGAACGAAACATTACTTGTTTCAAAAAAGAAACTTTACGTGAAACTGGATTTCAAAGGGATACTTAGCCTGCGATATTCTTAAGCGAAGAATTTCAATATCCTTGAGAAGAACTTTCTTCTCAGTAAAGTTAAGAGTAGTGTTCTCCAGTCGTCCATTGGTTTGTCAAAGATTGAAGGCTAAGATCTCGTATCTGACCACACTCACGTGCATATATCGGTTCAGTCAGTCAGTTTTCCTATACGGGTCAGAAACTTGGCGTGTCACCTGACGGATTTCGAATAAGTTACAGACTTTTATCAACACCTGCTTTCGGTGGCTCCATACTAAAAATCAAATCACCAGTCAGAAAGAATTAGCGAATCAACTAAGAGCCCATTACTCAACAAATATATAGGAGAAAATGGTGATAGATCGGGCAAACGTCGAGGAGGCCATCGCATAACATCACGTGCCAGGCCAGTGCTCGATTGGAATCCCAGTGGAAAGCGATGAGTGGGTCGTCAATGCGAGGGTGATATGGAGGAGATCGTTTGGGGAGAAGGAGATGAGAGAGTTTGGGCAATTGTGGACCCAGCTGAAGAGGACAACAGAAAACAGAAAGAGGGCGAGATGTGTTGTTGAGACCCTATGTTCCACTCGGAGCCCAATGGAATAATAATAGTGTACGAATGAGGGTTATTCATGAAAAGATCGGTATCGTGGCTTTAAATCAGTACTCTATTTAACACTCATTTTAAATAAAATTCTTTAATAACTGAATTACCACGATAGATCATAAAATATATGAACTTTTTTCGGGGTTTCCTTTATGAATCATCTAAGCAGTACACACCTAAAATGTCCATTTACTGCAATTTATTTGGATGAAATATTATCTATTGGATAATAACGAAGCATTAAACATCTATTTCCCTTTAGTTTAGGGGTTCCAAGCGAAGACTAAGACTATCAGGCTTTTAGTTGAGCATGTCGTAGGAATCTCACCCCTTACGCTTTCTCAATTTAGCAAAGTAAAACAATACCGACCCATGTAATGCGCTCGACTGACCTTGAGGTGACTAATCAGCAAAACCAGTGTTCTTTACAATAAAGCTGACGTTTATTTACAAGAGGAATACAGAGAATAATGATAAAATACATTAAACAAGATATTTTTCCCTGACGTGACTTAAAAATATCCTCCAGTTATAGTGAGGAGTATTCAGTTTTTAGGTTAGACCAGTTTCTGTACATGTATTCATCGAGGTGACTGAAGATGAGTTCTTTTTGTGATCCATTTATATCTCTTATGGCAAAGTTAAACTGTCATAGCCAAAGTCAAGATCTACTAAACGTTGACATTCAAAGACCAATCGGATTTATAGGACGCTACGAAAGGTCATTCCAAATCGAAATCACGCCTGCCTTTATGGATTTTTGGTGAATGAGTTCCATGAAGATCCAATATTTAATTATTGTGTCAATAACGGACTAATTGAAGTCACGAAAATTTGTGTGTAGGTGTATGGAAGACTATGACAATAAGTCAATAAAACCATGTGGGAGATATATATTGCTATAGATGCAGTTCATGTAATAAGAGAAAACCGGTTCGCAAGGGTTGGTGCAGTATTTTACTTAATCTCTGGGTGCTTTTTTCTCCAAACCTAAGCTCTTTGTCAAATATCCTAAGGCTCATATATTGTTGGATTTTGCAAAGGCCTGTAAGGGCAGCAGCTGAAACGGAAAATAATCTGGCCTGTACAGTGCGATGTTATCAGAATTGTAGAGATATAGCATCATGGAAGTTAGACAGGATTGCTGCCTGCCTCAGAGGAGTAGGGTTAATCGTTCATAATGATAAAAATGTCCTCATACATACCGACGAATGCAGGGGACATGACCAACTGTCATCTTTGGGTTATATTCCCTATCCTATAAACCCCTCTTTCACACTTGTGGATCTAATCACAAGCACCAACACTGATTCAGTCGAAGGATTCTGGTGGAGGTTGAAGAAAAGAGTCAGGAATATCAGCCGCGTAGATGTGAATACATGTACCGGGTATGGCACGATCTCTGTGGGGATTATCCCTGAAGAAATTAGGAAACATTTCTACAGCACATAAGAGACTGCTATCCAGTTTAATATCAAGTTAGGAATGTTTTCTAATACATTTTTTAAAGCTATTATGTGACTTTTACTGCATCTGAATCCTGATTGTTTGTTCAAAGTTACTGTGATTTTGGCGATGATAGTTTAACTTCTCCCCTCTGATCCTGTTTTTCAGTCTTCCCTAAAAGTCCTCGATTAAACTAGTATGGGTTCTAGTAAAAGGTTCGACAACTGTTTACTGGAAAAATGCGGATTATAAAACTAAAATATTCTTATCTTAATCCCAACCCCAAACCTTAACCCTAATCATAACGCTGATCCTAACCTTAATCGTAACACTAACCGTAAGCGTAGCACTAACGAGCCATCAACACATGAGGCAGGGATGAAATTTTTACGTCACTTCATGAACAGCGTTCATAATGGCGCTATAATAGCGGTAGGTCTCTTTAGCCGACGAATAGTATGCGTTCAAGGCTATTGCTACGTTCTCACTCCTAAATTGCAGTACTTTAACTTGGGCCTCAATTTTGCTAATTTGTGATACAAAATGATCCCCTTCCACTGTAGTAGGTGGATGTATGGTTCTTCTCACACCTGATTTGAATGAACTCACCGGTTTTGAAGTTCTTTTGACGGAAGGACCGGCTGGATGAACAAAATCACGATTGGAAATGCCAAATCTCAGATGACGTTAGATGATATCTACACTAAATCATTATATAAAGTAGATGACTTCAAATTTTCCAGATGATACGTAATTTAAAACATTGAATGTTTCCCTATACATAGTTCTCAACTATTATAATTACTTAGTAAAACAATTTGAACTTATATGTTACGCTAACGACTGAGAAACGTTTAACAATCTTCCATACTTGAAGTTAATGACTTATATGGATATAGAAATTATAGGACTAAACATATAAGAAAAAAATCCACTTACTCGACCACGTTCACTAATAGCTGTCAGCATAACAATTAAGCAAACTTGTTGTTCCCAACACATTTGCCAAAAATCACCGTAAGTATTAGGTAATGGACCTTGAGCTGCGATGTAACGTAAATTAACTCCACATTTGGGGTATTCCATCTGTGTATATGATAATGTTAAACATAAATGTTTAGTCAATATGTTGAACAAAAATAGATATTTCCATTCATAAACAATGATTAAAATAACTTATCGTTTCAACTGTTCCTGTGGTTCAAGGTATGTTAGAACTTACAATTAGGCAGATTCTTCTACGGATTCGCAAACATTTACCAGTCTAGTTCAGTAAGGGGGAAATCAAATGCATAAAAAGTTCTACTCCATCACCACTTGGTCGGTACAGGAGAAGGCGTCGACGCCAACATAACCTTCAAGGTTATATGACACCCTCCGAAGTCATTATCATGCACACTTAGCCTTCATCATGTACATTTAGCTGAAGCTGTTTGAATAAAGACGACCAGAACTTTGTATTGAAAAAGAACAAGACCAGGCGATGGTACTACAGTGGCCAAACTTGGACTAAAATTTATTCTCTTCTCCAAGAGTGCCTCTTCCTCTTATCTACCTTTTTCTTATTCTTTGCTTGTTATAATTTATTTAATAATAATAATTATTTATCATAATTTATACTCTTCATTCTAGCATTCTTTCAATAATATCAAATTTTCCATTTGTACTATCTGGACTTATTATTGGTGATATTATCTCCTTTCTCAATATATGCCTTCACCTGTTTCATTTCACACATTGGTTATTTCATGATGAACCTTCCGTTGCAGTCTTAGTATCTTCGATTTAATGCATATTCTTTTGTACTAGCCACTCATCTGATATCTTTTATAATCTCGACCTGGCTTGTCAATTTTTCCTAACGCACACTGCTTGAATCTACTATGACTAATCACCATCGTCGTCTCGCATTTCACGACATTTTGTAATTGAACTTAACCCAGAGCACTTTTGTCACACAAATACTATTTATTTTGTTACCTTATAACTAAACCGTAATTCTACGTAAAAATGTATCTGCCATATAACTGGCCATTATTTTAAAGATAAATATTATATATATATATCAATTTTAAGAACATGAAAGGAAATTACTGAAAAGAATATTCCCCTTTCAGAATGACTTTTAATGAATGTAATAGAAAGTTGAATGTCATGCGAATATTTCACATCATTAAATCTTATCACTAACTGCATTAAAGGAAGTATTTTGTCCACCGTCGTTACAATTTAAACGATAAAATTCAGACTTTTAACACCAATATTAGGTCACTCCTCCTATATGGGTCAGAAACTTCACACGCGAGTGACGAGAAGCATTTCCAATAGGCTACTGCGGACTCCCATCAACACCTGCCTTCTCTGGCTCCATAGTGAAGATCAGGTAGCTGCCCAGAAAGAATTATTATTACTATTGCCTTGGGTTCCGAGGGGAACATATGACTTCAACAACACATCTCAACTTTCTTCCATTTTCTGTTGTCCTCTTCAACTGGCTAGCTCCACAATTGCCCATAATCCTTCATCTTCTCCTCCTCACCACAAGATCTCCTCCATGTCATCCTCACGCTGACTACCCACTCATTGTTTTCCACTGGGATTCCACCCGAGAGATGGCCTGCATTGTGAACGATGTCATTCGACGGTCTCCTCAATGTATACCCGATCCATCTCCATTTTCTACTTCATATTTGTTGAGCAATCGGCTCTTTCTTGGTTGGTTTGTTGCCAGCCAGAGTTCCTTGTTGTTGATTCTCTCTGGCTAGGTGGCCATTTGATCTTCATTATGGAGCCAGCCAGCGAAGTGGGTAGCTACTGATAAAAGTCTGTAACTTGTTGGAAATGCTTTTCGGGAAGCGCTGTGTAAGTTTATGACGCATATAGAAGAATTGACTGACTTCACATTTGTGTCAAAAATCCGAACCTTGTTCTTTATGCTGGCTGAGTGCAGAAGATTTCCAAACTGGTTTCAGGCTGATGAAGGCATATCTTGCCTTTCCAATTCTCTCTGGCTTTTACATCTTCGTCCGTTCCGACTGCCTGTAGTAGAAAAAATGCTCGCTGCCTAGATTAGTGAAGGAAGTAACATCTGTCAAATCTCTCCCGTCGATGGTGATTACTGCTGTTGCTGGTGGTGGTGGTTGGTTATCTCCATCACCTCCGTTTTCACCTTCTCTGTGTTCACCTGGAGTCCTGTCTTCCTTGGCTGCTTCTCCGGCGAGTTTGTTGGTTTCACCTGCAAGTCATCGAGTCTGTGTGACATGAAACATAAATCACCGGTGAAACCCAGATCTCCTAAAGTATGCTTATCGGTATAGCGTATTCCTGTCATCTCACACCCCATAGTCTGGTGCATAATCTAGTCCACCACAATTAAGAATATCATTGGTGATAATAGTCAGGCAGTCTTGTCTTACTCCTGTATTCACTCTGAACGTCTCACAAAGAATTAGCAACAAGAATATTATGAGAACGAACCAATCAAGAATCCGTTGCCCAACAAATACTCCAAAGAAAATGGAGGTGGAACAAACATATGCTAGGGAGACTGTTGGGTGACATCGGGCACCAGGCTGGTGTAAACCCCACAGTAATAAAACTGGGTTTCATTTTACCTTCAGGATTGCATTTGTATTACCTACAACTGGAGAAAATATACACCAAAACGTCATCGCGGCTAGCTCTAAAGCCAGCAAATGTGAAAGGCAATGGAGGCTAAAGTAATAATAATAACAATCTATGAGGTCAGTAACTGATTATCCTAACTGCGTAAGAAATTGAAGATTATGAGGGTCAAATCTTCACCATGTCATTTACCGATTAGAATGATATACGGGTATGAATTTGTTAACCTCTAGAAAATCGCATTTGAAAAAGGCTTTTTACTTTCCATCTCTTTCTGTTGTTCTTATATTATTATTATTCCATTACTTCCCAAGTGGAACATAGAGCTTCAACAGCATATCTCCATTTTGTTCTGTTCTCTAAAGTCCGCTGAAGCTCCACGACTGTCCATAGGGTCTCACATTCTCCTCACACGACCTCCCCTTCCCGTCACCCTAGGATGTCCAACTCGTCGTTTCTCATTCAGGTTCCACTCAAGCTATGGTTTGGTGTGCGATGTCATCCAACGGTCCTCTCAGTGTGTGTCCGATCTACCTCCATTTTCTTCGGAATATTTGTCGGGCAACAGGTTCTTGATTGATTTTTTCCCCATAATTTTCTTGTTGCTAATTCTTTCTAGGTAGTCATCTAATCTTCACTATGAAGCCAGTGAAGGTAGATGTCGATGACAGTCTGCAGTAGCCTGTTGGAAATGCTTTTCGTGATGCGCGTGTCAATTTTCTGACCTATGTAGAAGAACCAGCTTAGCAGTAGTGTTGAAAAGCTGAATCTTGTTCTTTATGCTAAGTGCAGTCGATTTCCAAACTGATTTCAGAATGATGATGATGAATGATGAATGATGAAAAGTCCTTCAAAGTAATATACAAGATTCAATCAAACCTATCAAATGTAGTGAAATCAAGACATTTGGACATAGCTGAGGCGTTAGCTATCCAAAAACTCAAACCCACCCTTTGTGTCCAAAAGAAATGATGAAGTTCTATTGTGTCTTTCCGATCCTGTCTGGTTTTGACATCCTCATCCATGCCGCTTGCCTGTAGCTGAAACGATGCCGCCTAGGTAAGCGAAGGAAGTGACCTCTGTCAAATTTATTTTTTTGCTTTCTGACTGTTTTTCATGAGTATAAAGGATTGAAATGCTTCCCTTTTAATAGATCTTATAGGTTATTGTATTCATCTGTTTGTATTTATCCGTAAGGCCTATTTGTGGTGAGAGCAAGCTGCTAGCCAATTGGTAGACATTGATCTACGCTGATTGGTGGAAATTAATCTGGGCTGATTCAACAACCGATCACAGCTGACCTAGACGTGGACAAATATGATTCGCAGACAAGTGGCTCGCATTTCCGAGAAATATCGAAAACGAGAAAGCAGAAGACTGCGTTTGTTTGCAAACAACCAATCAGAAGACCGCCTTCTTTCTGCGGGCAGAGCCTTATTAATGTACGTAAAATACATATAAATACCTGTTGGTTTTCGTAATAAAACTGATCTGTTGCCTGGCCCTTGTCTTCTGTTGTTACATATTAATTTAGATAATTCTTCCGGTAACAGAATTATTATTTTTGTTCCCTTGGGTTCCTAGTGGAACATAGGGCTTCAACTGCACGCCTCCACTTGCTTCCCGGTAACAGAAGGTATGATTACATGAGGGTGAACGGTCTCTGAAATAGTTGAAATACGATTACTGATTTCAAGTTATGAGGGCCATTCAATATGGTATAGACTGGCTATAAAAATTATCAGAAATAACTCTTTAATTAGGCATACTTCACCTCTTTCCGTGCTATGAATCTATGACGTGCGTGTTAACTGTCTTATTCTTTAAGATCCTTTATTCCATCAGTTTCTTGTACCATTAGATGAACTGTCATCCAAGAATTTCACACGTTTCTCCACAGGTGGTTACCCACAAATATGACGTAAACCTATCAGTACTTTATCTCTTCAATTCACTCTATGTTTAAAAATATCTTACTTCGTCTTGGACCAAAAAGGTTTACACGTATTTTAAGGTAATTTTGTAAGAATAAATCTTGATAGGTTGAACTTACATTCACAAAACTAGCGTTAATATAATCCCCAGATCCTTGTTTTAGTACAACACGCGTTTGGTCGTCTATTAAAAAAGAAACACAAAGATAAATGTTCATTATGATAAAGGCATAATTATTTATTTTTTTTATTTTCAATTTTACTTTTAGTTAGCTTTTACTTTAATAATTAATTCACTATTATCACTGTCATATGTTGCTTTTGAATATTTCCTCACCCTCTTCACACTTGTTAAATTGACACTCAACTACCTTTCTTCTCACTCAATAACAATTTTAACCTTATCAAATTTCTAACCCTTTCTTGCTTTGTGCCGATGAGTACTACGTAATTTACAACTTTTATTTTTTACTTCTAAAGCCACTTCTGAGTAATTATATCAATTATGTCATCCCCTATTACTCAATAACAGACTACTATACATTTTTGGTAAATGTAAATACGACTGTACAGCCTCTGAAGATTATTTCGTCGATAAAGAAAATTTTCTTCGCTGAATTGTCTTTCATTTTTTTCATGGCTCATTGGGTATTTTTGGTGATCCACAAGAGTTTATGAATAATTCAATCATTTTTAAAAATAACAATGGCACGAAAACGGAACTAACACGCCTCCTCAGTAGTTTATACAATCATTATGATAAATTAATTATTTTACGTTTTAGCATTCTCACTACAGATCTAGCTGAATCCTTTAAATTCATACTATTCCTTGAAATAAAGCTTTCTAGGCTAAATTTGTCTCGGCTTATGTGTTTTCAAAAGCTTTATCCAATGACTGAATTCAAAATACTTTAGACAAAGCAATTAGAAGACGTAATTTGTCTGAATCGTGTAATGTATTTGCGCGAAACCCATTTAGAACAATCTGATCATACACGGACTTGTCATAGGAATATACACATGAAATTAATAAACAGTTAAGAGGTGAAAAAATAAACGTAGATCAAGTTAAAACAACACATTGAAGGTAGAAATAACAATGAAGATCACTAAACCAAGGAAGAGAGGTAATATTAAATCCACCTTGGTTGGTATCAAAACAAAGTTTACCAAGGAGGGTTTAGTGGGATGACGAATTGTTTTTGAACTCATGAAGGTGGTTTAAACTTCCTAGCTGCCGGCTGGGGCTTCCAAAAACTTTAGGATGCGCCTCAAACACATTCTATAGATAGGTTTACAAGATGTGTAAACGTCAATTTTATGTGTTGTCTTTATAATATGTTTCGCGATAGGGGAGGGAGCTAGATCTCCTGATCTCACCATTAATGGATTCTGAAGATTCTATTTGCTTCCGGAGCCATTTAGGAATATTCTCTGAAGCCAACCCTTACTTGCAGAGATCGGTGAGTCCTCCATATGTATGTGTGTCCACACGTACATTCAAATTGGTAAATACAGTGGGATGTGACATAATTTTTCGCATGTTCTTATGGCGTAGATGCATAGATCAGCTTCACATTCCCAATTACTATGACCTTAGCTGCATAAAAGTCTTTTTGACCACGACGTTCAATTGTTATCGAGTTAGCAAGCTGCTACGAACCCCCATATAAGGTAGCTTGATATATACGTTTTTCTTAGTGGTTAGCTTGGTTTGACTACTTTATATCTCCTGATGAACTTATCTTGATAATTATTATCAACCAGAATTTGTGTCGGTTTTATTTCTTCCTCATGAAGTGTATCTTCGGTACATACTCGTTGGATTCTACTGAAGAGTCACCTTACTGAGGCTCCTTTGTACCTAACAGGGCAAAAACTGTGATAATTAAGATCCTGTCCTGTCCAGGTAGGTTTTCTATAAATAGTTTTATTGATCCGTCCGTTCGTCGAATAAGTAATACACCATTTCGGAAAGACAAACAATTGTCTTCCTCTTCTACAGATTTAGGCGATATGCTATTCTGAACTTCGTTCATTCAATTTAAACTTGAGGTGTCAGAACAAGGCTTATCACTTATGATTACAACGTCGTCCACATATTTTCTATAAAGTGGAGCATTTTCGATTGAGTATTACGATAAACTTTCGGTTTACGTCATATAGATATCTACTAAAAGGAACTCCAACTTTCATAGCGACACCATGGACCTGATGGTAACAATTGCCTTCAAGTATGAATCTAACTTCGCTAGTACACAGAAGTAATAAATCCCTTAAATAAGATATAGGGAAGGGGATGAAAAAGTTATGTGTGGGAATGTAATCACACAAAGTATTTTGGTTATAATAATTACTAAAGTACAGTCGAACAGGGACATAAACAATTTTTATCCTATTTATAACTTGACAGCAGTGATAGTGTCGATGTCCTTTGGATGGGTACTTCGTAATTTGAAGACTTCTGGTCGCGTCTTCATCCAACCACCAGAACTTACATAGATTACTTATTTCATGTAGTTATTCTTGAATTTTTTAGTGTCATTATAAGTTGGAGATTTTCAATAATTCTACACAGTATGAAAGTGAACTACGAGGTAGGGAACTGCATAACAGTTGTTGATTTCTGCCGTTTGAGACTCTTCACGCCTTCTTCATGTGGAATTACTTTATAATTAGACAAGAAATGTTTTACAGTTTTGATTCGGGTGTATGATGAGAACTTTGTAGATACCGAATGAAAGTGATCCACTATGACGTGGTTTGCCAACACTTTCATGGCTTAACTCCAGCTAAATAGATTTATGTAAAACAAAAGTCCGGTTTGCGATAGAATCTACACTGAGATCAATTTTTTATTCGTTTACGTTTTCAGTGGAACATAGGGCTTCAAGCTAGAGGCTTGAAGTTTTGGTAGCAGTGGTGTTTATTCATTTTTACGGATGGGGTTGCTAGTCTTTTGCCCAACCTTCCCTCTTTACCAGTCCTATTACTGGCTTAGAGGGGTAAGGGAGTACTTCGGCCGGGGACTGAACCCCGGAATACACGCTTGGTCGGCAAGCATTCTACCGCTATGCCACCGACGCACAGACCAATCAAATTTCCACAAATCAAGTACCTGAACTACAGAAGTGTTCTCATCATTACATGTATTATATAGACTACTGTACTTGGATAGCATGAAAGAAGTCTAAACGTGAAAGTATTGATTACTAAGTGATTGAAAAGATGAATAAGTGAATGTAATTCTGCAACTTTGTTTAATTCAAAACTTCTTGAGTTCCTGGAAGCTATTTATATAACAGTATTCGATAAAAATAATAATAATAGTAAGGAATAATCAAAAGTGAGAATAAGATTGTCGAGAATCAAGTGAATCCTTCCAATGGACAAAGGAATAATAGCTAAGTTTAAAACTAAACAAAAGGCGATATCCGTATCCACACAGTATTTCATTTGATGTCCTGTCACAACTTCCACCAAATAAAGTACAAGACAGAGTTATTATCTTTCACGTTAGAAATTACATTGTACGCTACATCGACAGATTTCTGTTAACAATTAAGATTAGCTGACAAAACTAGTTATCAAATGGTGAGAAATGTTTACACGATAAAGACTTAGTGTGTGGCATAACCTGAATACTCCTCCTGAGAGGGAGGAAGGTTAAATGTATTCTCTATTCACCTAAGTAACTAACAGGCAACTGCTAACAGGTTAAAGTTGGAAAACACTGCCCAGTGTTTTCTGATTCAATAGCTAGACTAAATTATCCCAGGGAATAAACTTCACAATCCTACATGTGCATGGAATCTTGAGATTGCATGAGTGAAGAGTCCTAGATTAAAAGAAACAGACACACAAAGTCAAACCAGGGAGTACTGTCAAACAGCTGTTTACTCCTAGTTTGAGACCCACCGGCAGTATGGAACCACCAAGGTGGTTCGAACCCGGGACCTTCCGGTTACAAGGCGAGCTCGTATGCCATTCAGCCACTGGGATCCGACTCCTCAATGGTCATCCCATGAATTCTAACTTCTACCGATCAAATCCTTACAAATCAACCCTTGGAAATTAATCTGATACTCGCTAGTGACTGCCTACTGGACGAAGTTGCCTGGAGGCATTCTAGTGAGAAGTCGTGACCAGGGAGGTGCATCCAGTCGGGGATGAGGATAGAGTTCCCACCAATGACATTGGGTGGTGGTCTCACTGAAAATCACGAATTGGTAGAAGTTAGAATTCATGAGCTGGACACTGAATCAGGTCCCAATGGTTGAATAGTTGTCGAGCATGCCTTGTAACCGGAAGGTTCTGGCTTCGAACCCTGGTGCATGCGTACTGCCGATGAGTCTCAAACTAGGATGAAACAGCTGTCTGACAGTACTCCCTGCTTGTTTTCAATGTTTCTCTAACTGATATCAATTCCTGGACAAATTCGAAAAACACATCAAATCCTTACCAATCAACCCTTTTGAGTTTATTTGTGCAGTTATCAGTAATAAATATGTACAGCCTAATGAAACAGACGCTACCGTAAAGACTGTAACAAATTATTGCTCTTCAAGAAAAAGTAGTGTCTCTGCAAGTGTAACAGAAATCAAATAACCACTTCAGTCGATGAACAATCATAAGATCTGTTGGAAAGATTTTTTTTACAGACATATCACAGTCAATCGTTACTGAAAAATAACTAAAGGGATACTATTTCATTGTAACTTCTGATTTAGTTAGAATGTTTTATGACTTTGATATGACATAAAAATGTACACTATTGTACTTTTTATTATTGTTATTATCACTGTCGAGAAATGTAACAAAAAGGAGAGGGAAGAATGAAAATATATATTCGAATTCGGGATAGATTTATGTCTATTACTCCTGGAATTTTTCTTTTCACAATTCAAACTTATTTACTATTCTTTTAGTGGCTTTTATTCATGAGTCAGACTGGTATAACTAACCATGATACTTATTTGATATTTACCGGTTGAAACGAAAAACATTTAGTGAGAGTGGGAAATAGTTTTGTATCAAAATGTGTAACTTCTCATTAATTGTCATATTTATTAAATAAGATGTATCAATCGTTAAATGAAGCGGAGAAATTAAACAAGTAGAAGAACTAAGCAGGGCTATTCATACATCACTGCTGGTTTGCAGGAATCAGGTTCCATCACGA